TTAAATATTTGATATAATCATTTTCTAAAAATTTTAGAATGAAAAATTCTTTAAAACATTAATTGTTGAATTTAGACTATTTTAAAAATGGAATAAAAAATTTACAAAAAAAAAAAAAAAAAAAAAAAAAAAAAAAAAAAGAAGAAGAAGATTTAAACTAACAGTTCAAATTAGAATCGGAATGTTCCTAAAAGATTATTATATTGTTCCAGTTTATCATTTTTCATAATCGAAACCGTACGGCGGTCATATTTATTGGCTAGCAGAGCATAATTGAGGGATTAAGATTACTTTTATAAGACTAAATTATTATTCGATGTGATTGGTTTACCAATTTTCACTTAATATAAAACATTTGTGTTTAAGAGTGTTGTAATTTGTTGTATAGGATATACTCATAGATTGTAATATGTAGGGACAGTCGATGCTTATTCGACTATATAATATATTGTATGCTCTTGCTAAGTAGTTCAATGACATCTTTGTGACTCTTCCAAATAAAAAAGTTATAAATTTGAATCCCAATATGTATGAACAGATATTAATAGTACTCGAAAAAATATTGTATGCTCACTGTTATGGAAACAAAAATTTTCGAAGTTGGATATATTAATCTGTTAGATACAAATTAATATTTTATTTTAATTAGTTAATCATATGTGAGTATGTGAACAATAAGCTAAGTTTTACACGCTTAACTAAATCTTTATACATATAATATAGTATTGACATGATTACGATCAGCAAGGCATCTTTCCTTTCAAGTCTCTCATTCAACCACACTTCTCTGTCTAGTTAATTATGTGTCTTTGTATAGTCTTAAAGGATATCCTAACAACCTAAATCATAAACATGTCCACCTTGAAACCTTAATTATCAAGACAGTATTATATGTAGAATAAAATACTATTTTTGGGTTTATTTTGTTTTATGAAATTCTTGATACAAGGATAAAGGATTGATAAAGAGATGGACATGAATTATAATTTGACCATCTTTTGTTATATAAGTGAAAGAAATGTATTGGAGATACTGAGATAGTAATTTATATTTGAATCATATTATTAGACACTCATACATAAGCCACTCATTATTATTAGAGGTGTGCAAACTTCGGATAATTTTCGGTTAACCGACCGAACCGACAAAGTTCGGTTAACCGTTTTCGAACCGAACTTTTTCGGTTCGGTTAATGGTTAAAGGAATTTTAAAATTTCGGTTAACGGTTAATTCGGTTCGAAAGGTCGGTTAACCGAATTAACCGAACGGTTAACCGAAGTTTTATATATATATAAAAATAATAATATAAATATAAATACTAATTTGAAATTATGGATGTTTGGAGTTTATAATTCATGTTATTTATATTTTGTTATGAATGTATTATGATATGTATTTTATTTTAATTGGATTTATTATTTTAAGTGTTATTTTTAGAATTTTAAATTTTAGCTTTAAAAAGTTCGGTTAATCGGTTAACCGACCGATTAACCGAAAAAAATTTCGGTTCGGTGAATTCGGTAGAGCAAACTTCGGTTCGGTTAACGGTTAAAGGAAAAAAAAATTTCGGTTAATTCGGTCCGATTAAAACGGTTCGGTTAACCGAACGGTTAACCGATTGAACACCCCTAATTATTATTGACTTTTTGATGTGTTACTATTTCATTAGATACACACATTTCTTATTAACTTATTGATAATCACCCAGTTCATCAAAATCTATAACAACAACAAAAAAAAAAAAAAAAAAAAAAAATCATTGTTTTAACCAGGAAGTAACTAATAATAAGTGATAATTGTAAGGTTAAAAATCATTTTAACTATCAATTGTACGAAGATGAGACACAATTGGGAATATTTTAACTCTCAGGCTCTGTTTGGCAAACCTAGCTGAAATGCTATAAGCTAGGAGCTGATAGCTGAAAAGGAGCTGAAAGCTTAAAAGCTATAAGCTCGGAGCTGAAAATTGAACAGCTGTTATGATTGAAAGTGTTTGGTAAAATTAGCTTTTTGATAAGCTGATAAATATAAAAAGACTAAAAAGGACATCTTCATAAAATTTAAATTAGTTTGTTTACATATTAAAATTTAACATTTCGTCTTCCAAAAAAAAGTAAACACTTTTAAAAATAAAACTATTAGCATGATCATGATCTAGCATCCCATAATGAAGTAGCAATATTGTTGTGAATCTCCTTCATCTCCATAGAGGTGTGACTTAAATTTTCGTTGATGGAGATATTAGTACTTGAATCTTGAAGTTCATCGGGCGGTATGTAATCTGGATGCTGCTCAAGCACATTAAACATCATGTCATCTTGTGAATTCTTCCGAATATAATTATGTAGTGCAAATGTGGCCATAATAACATCAATTTGGGTCTCCTCACTAAACTGCGGCATTTTAGCTAGTATCTTCCATCTCTTATTCAATACTCCAAACGATCTCTCAATACAACTTCGAAGAGAAGAATGTGCACGATTGAATGCTTCTTGAGCATTAGTTGGCGGCTCTTGTTCAATTTGAGATTAAAGCCATATTGCTAATTTTAAAATAACATTAATAATAATAATAATAATAATAATAATGATAATAATAATAATAATAATAATAATAATAATAATAATAATAATAATAATAATAATAATAATAATAATAATAATAATAATTTAAAGTTTCAACATAATTGTTTAGCAGGAAACAAGACTAAGGAAGGGATTGACGTGAAAGTTGGGATAGGAGAAAAGAAAGGATTTTAATTCATAAGGTTAAAATATGTTATTACTTTAAAATAATAAGGGTAAAGATGGAAAAAAAGTTAGGAAGCTAGTAGCTTATTTTGAAACGCTACCTAAAGTAGCATTCCAAAATAAGCTCTTATTTTAAGCTAGGAGCTTATTTTGGAAACATTACCAAACGAAGCTTATAGCTTATTAGTAGCTTAAAATAAGCTATAAGCTCCTAGCTTAGTGTTGCCAAACAGAGCCTCAATATAATTGTATGATGATGAAACAAAATTGGAGATATTTTAACTTACAATGGTATGACGATGAGACAAAATTAGTAATACATAACTAAATCGAGATCTATCATCAAAGTTAAAAGAAAAATCTGATTAAATTATTAATTAACAAAATTTGAAACAATTATCACAATTAAAAATTAAATAATAGATAATTCTTTTTAAATTTAACTATCCACAGAGTCATATTATTTATTTACGGAGGGCTATTTTGATAATTTTGGAGCGTGTTTTGAATGTTGGATGTGATTTTAAGGGTTTAATTTATGATAAATTTGGATTTCATTGCTACTGTACTCTTCTTCCCGTGAAATTCTTTTTCTATTTCACTTTGGGTCTTTTCTTCTACATATCTTTTTAGCAATATATAGACTTTAGTTGGTTTCTATGTTTTTTAATTGTCTATCATTTGAATATAATATTGTATAATTTTGTAATTGACCTATGTGTATTTTTCACAGGCAATGTATCATCTTTAGATGTGCATTTTCGCTATAGGTTTTGTGCATTATAACAGACATCTGTGCATTGTGAGCTTTGTAGGTGTGCATTTGCACGATCAATGGTGTACATTTTGGGTGATTTAGAGGATGAACAATTTCCTCTTGTAAAAAGTGAGGACTAATCACAGCCACCCGTCAAGGTTCATCAATGGTCGAGAGTTTTAGTATAAAAAATTGTGTCAATTTTATAATTATTGCAAATTTAGGGGTGTGGCCGCCATATGTGTGCATTTGCACGAGTGATAGTGTGCATTCTGAGTGATTTAGAGGAGGAACAATGTCTTCATGTGACAAGTGATAATTGATCATAGCCACCCACAAAGATTATCAATAGTTGATAGTTTTAGTAAAAAAAAAAATATGGGATCGATTTTATAATTATTACAAACTTTCAATTGAGTTTGCAATATTTTAAAAATAGACTAACGTTAAAGTATGCATTTGCATAGCTCATGGTATGCATTCTGGGCTACTGGTGTGAATTAGAATGGGGTGGGCGTAGAATGAGAGAAAAATTATACTCTTAACCCTATTTAGACAAGAGAGTAGGTTTTGGGGCGTACTGAATTGCTTTTTGAGCATGATTTTGGAGATTTGACATGCTTATTAAGCGGATTTTTTTGATTTCTTTATGTTTAATCGTATATGTTGATTTATTAGTTTAAAAGGCTACAATTAATCCATAATTTTTACGTGGGGTGTGGTTCTCATGTGAGCATAATCATATATATATATATATATATATATATATATATATATATATATATATAATTATTATTAACAACTTATTTATATAATTGCATTAACAGTTATGTTGAATTATTATTAACAACTTATGTTTATTCTATTTGATTTTAATTTATATTTTTAATTAGTTAATATATGTATGCCCTTTATAGGTTATTTTACATATAATCAATTAAAAATAAACATATAAATTGCCACACACTTTTTATAATTGGCTAGTACAAATCAGGATATGTATCAAAACAATTAACACAATATCAGTTAAACCAATCAACTATCAACTGACAAGACCTTATGGTCTAATGGCACCCGAGTTTGACTCCCATATAGGAGGTTGTGAGTTTGAACCTCAGCGGAGGAGTAGTTATGAACAGATACTACATTGTAATAGAGTCACTACCATTCAAAAAAAAAAAAAAAAAAATCAACTATCATCTATAAACCAATTGCCAAACACCATTATATTTTCCAAATTTGACATTCTCATCAATTTAATATTCGTAATTTGACATCCCATAAACCAAACGTGTATAAAAATTAGACAAGCATGTCTAAACCATAATATTATATTAGAGGATAGCTTTAACATATCATTTTTTATCTGTAAATTTGTGTGCTAATTAATGTGAAGGCTAATATCGTCATTTCCATTTAAACAGTGGCCTGCAATTATTATACTCCAAAGTCCAAATTGAATAGTGTAACTCCTGAAAATTTATTATATACCACCCACCAACACTAGACAAGAAGACTCTTTATATATATCTCCAACGTAAACTCCTTTGATCCCTCAGCTCCTCCCAATCAATTAAGATCCCTGCCTGCCCAGAACCCAAAAAAAAAAAACACTAGAAATTTATAAAATGGGTTTTGTTGTTGAGAAGAGAATTGGAAGTGTGTTGGTGTCTTTGGTGATGTTGATGATGTTGTGGGTTCCGGTGTCGATGGGAGCAGTGTACAAGGTCGGAGACGCCGCAGGTTGGACCACCATTGGCAATGTCGACTACAAGCTCTGGTCTGCTACCAAGACCTTCCAAGTTGGCGATGTTATTGGTATTTATATTTTCAATCCCTTCCCACTCTCTTTATCTTCTTTTAATTTCTTTCTGTATTGCATATCTACTTAAACTTCTCTCTTTTTTACTTGGGTTTTGCCAAACTGTAATTTTTAGAATTTTTTTATGGGGTAATAATGTTAGGAGTTCAAAACCTCATCTCGTGTGAAAAAACTAATGTGATCAACAATTTGTCTCTTAATTGAATCGGTACGGTACGAGCAGGATTAGTTTGAATATGATATAGGCTTCAAAGGTCTCACTTATAATTAGAGTCTACTTATCAAGACACCTCATAGTATAACAAAAACATTATCAATTGTATATTGAATTCACTATTAAAAAGTTTTATAACTCACTTGAATCAAGACAGATAAAATACCTTTTTTTTTTTACCATCATTATTGTAGTTTGTCCACTCTAATTCTCTTAAAAAATGTCTAAATTTGATCTCAATTATGGTGACAGTGTGTGACCTTTTAATTATCTATCTGTTTATCATCAAAGTGGGAATTGAATAATATAATCATTTACACTTCACCTTCCACAATTAAGTAGAATGTAGGGTGGCCCAATTTGTTAATGTCAAATGATGGATTATTGTTTTTGTTTTTGTATATCAATTTCAATGTTACCTATAAATATGATCAAGAATTTCATCATAAGGTCTAGAGTGTGCTCTTTTTTGTTATATATAAGAGGAGTGAAAAGGTGAATGTAATGCACATTTATGTTAGCCAATCAACAACGTTAACTTTCTCCTGCCTGCGACTTTAAAGCTTCTTAACGGACAAATACTTGTCCAAATTCTCTTAATATTTAACTAATAATACCAACATCACTGTATATGACAAATTATTATGTGAATTTGGGTCTAAAATACACAATTTACATATTGAATATTGACAATTTTATAAAAGGTAAATTGTGAACATTAAGTATGTAAATTGTGAATATTCAATAGGTAAATTGTGTATTTTGGATCCGAGTGAATCTTGCAAGATGGACCCTGATACATGATATAACAACTGATTATGTCATCAAATTCGAAGAAAAAGTTTAAAATAATTACTTGAACTTACAAAAGTAAAGCAATTAAGCTCATTTGACCCTAGCGAAGTAAATAACATATCTAATCTATAAAAATTATATAGAAGTCAACGGTAGAAAAATTTAACAGAGAATAGAAAATGTGTTCCTATAGTCTGTTGTAGTAATAACTTGTGCATTGTCTTTATCTTCTTGTACACTTGCAAGTTCCTTTCAATTTTATTTTTTTATTCATGATGTATTGATTATTTTATTGACATTTTCTCTATATAATTTTTTAAATTGTTTTTCTTATTAAACATTTATAAAATTGTGAAATGCACAATATTTGACTAGTAAAATAAAATAAATGGAGTAGTATCTAGCTAACTCCTACTTGACCAAAAATCTTTTTGTGATGTATATATAAATTTGTGGACACATTTTTTTTTTTTTTTTTCATTTCATGAAGGGTCTCGTGTCTAATTCTACTCACCACCTATGATAGCACAAAAAATTTCAAGGAGAGTATTTCTTATGTTGTTTTAAATACATTTCTTTCTCACAAACTCATGAACTGTTTTTAGATTTTAAAAAATTCAATAACCCATTTCTTAAAAGGAAACTCATTACACATTTACATAGCTATAATTGAAGGAAAAAAAAAAAAAAAAAAAAAAAAAAACAGAATGAGTAAACAAATATGGCTTCTTATTCTTTGTTTCATTTAGAATTTTTCTATAAGCGTATTGACCAATCGCTCTTCTAATATCAGCAAATTATTATGTGGGCCGGGGTCTAAATGACTAAATGTTCACAATTTATTTTTTAAAAATACACAATTTATATACTGAACACACAATGTTAACATATATGTAATTGACTACCTTGTTTTGTATTTACAAGTTCCTTTCAAATACTGCAGTCACACAATATTAACAGATTTGGTGACCCAGCATTGTATTCACAAATTTCATTCTACAGTTATTATGTACACAATTTATATTCTAGAAATTTACAATTTCAATACTAAAAATCAGTGTTGCAAAAATCCCGCCTAGACACTAGGCGGTCGGCCTCCTAGGCGCTCTAGGCGGTACCAGGGCGCCTAGAAATTTTTTCAACATTCCTAAAAATACACAATTTATTATACGTTGTTTAGGACCAGATCAGAGTACTTGTGTTAAAAGTGCAAGTGACATATGCAAGTATGCAAGTACAATTTACAATATATATATATATATATATATATATATATATATATATATATATATATATATATATATATATATATATATATATATATATATATATATATATATATTGAGATGTTTATTTTGTGTTGATCATGAAGTGATGTGAGTGAATGGCAAGGTGTGATGATTATGAATGCAGAGGCGGCATGAATCCAGTGGAGCATACCTACCATTTAGTTTCATTATATTGGTGTTACGTTGTTGTCACCACCCACCTTAATCCCCACTATCTAATAAATGAGCATCATATATATTCAATTCAATCTGGCCAGCCTGCTGGATAAAACAAGAATGCATGCAGCTTGCAGCACATGTCTGAAGCTGCTGTATACATGCAATCATCATTTCCTTCTTCTACTCAATATGTTGCCCACGCATGCTTATTATTTGATTATTGAGTTTGTACTCATGCATGCTTTCTATAAATGTATTATATCTCTCTCCCACACACAAATATATATAGGTCGGAGAGAATTCAGGTGAGAATGCCTCCTCGGCCCGTAAAAAGTGTGAACATATATATATATTCACCCCCCTTCATATTCTTGATAAATCAATTCCAATATTTATGTTATCATATAAATTGTATCATCTTCTTGATAAGTTTGCAATAATATGTGCGTTGGTATTGCATTTTTAGATAATTAGATATTTAGATGCTACTATTTGTAATGTTGCGTTATTTCTTTTAAGTACCTCTAACAAAGCATAAAGTATAACTTTACAAAACATATAAGAAGTGTTTGATAAATGACTGTTAGCTGATTGTGTTAGTGGGTTTGACTAGTTGATAGCATTAGCTCATTGTAGAAAAGTGTTTGGTAAATTAACTGTTAGCTGATAGTTGATTACATACAAAATAATTTTTTTAAAAAGCTTATCGAAAAAGCTACTTTGAGCAACTTTTGAAATTTTAACCTTTCAAAACAATAAGTTGTTACAAAACGTTAATTAATCAAACACTCATAATTGTTTAACTAAGTCAAACAACTCATAGTGGTCAAATAAGCTAAAAATGATTGATTGACTGATAGGCTAACTATATATTTTACCAAACAGGCCATGCATAGTACGTGAAAGTAGGATTATGTCCCTGTTTGGTAAATGACTATTAGCTGATAGCTGTTAGTTGTTAGCTGATCGTGTTAATTAGAAGGTATAATTAATTGATAACATTAGCTGTTGTAGAAAAGTGTTTGTTAAATTAGTTGTTAGCTGATAGCTGTTTGGTATAATTTTTTTTTTGAAAAAGCTAATTGAAAAAGTTGCTTGGAGTAGCTTTTTGAATTTTAGCATTTTGTAGTTGCAAAAAAACTAATTAACCAAACACTTATATTTTGATATTTTAACTAAATCAAACAATTAATAATGGTCAAATAAGTCAAAATTGGTCTATAGGCCAATTTTTTACCAAACAGGGCCTATATACTGAAGGGAAAACGTACTCTTGAATTGGTTTATTTATTTCTCTATGTATGTTGAATTGATAAGACATTATACATATATTTATACACACACATCTATATACGTATGTGTGTGTGTGTGTATGTATATATACAATATATGGTGTTTATATAAAATATTAGTTTTGAGTTTGAGTGGTGAAAATGCATGCATGCATCCAATATATAAATATGATATGATATTGTGTGGGTGCAGTTTTCTCGTACAACCCTCAATTTCACAACGTGATGCAAGTGACACATCCTATGTACCAAACGTGCAATGCATCATCCCCTATCGCCACTCACACCACCGGCAATGACTCAATCACCATCAAAACCCACGGCCACCATTTCTTCTTATGTGGTGTTCCAGGCCATTGCCAGTCCGGCCAGAAGCTGGATATCAACGTCCTACGCGCCGCCGATGTTTCCTCAACTCCCACCCACTCCCCCGCTGCTCTGCCTCCGTCCACCGCATCTACTGCACCTGCTCCTTCTCCTAGCCACGCCGCTGCTCCCTTGCTTGCCAATCAGATCGTCGCACTCTTTTCTGTGCTAGCTACTCTTATCTTATACACTACAAATTAATTAAGCTGAAAAATTTTGTATTGTATTTGCTTTAATTTTCATTTGGAATGATGTTCATGTATTTTTGCCACTATAGTTTTTGAAATCCTTGGAGTAAATAAATGTCAAACTGCTCATTTATTCTCGATCCTTACTATTTCGTTTACTTGAGTGAGAATTTAAAATTGATCAAATTTATTTGGTAAATTAACATTTTGACCCAAAAAAATTAGTGAATTTGGTTACTGTACTCTACCAAAGTTGACTAAGTCAAATTGCCAAAATAAACATTTGGTAACAAAACATAATGTTGGCCATAATTATTATGCAACGGTGTACACTAAATAAACGTCACCGCCTTAAATCACTTACCTAAATCAACAATCTAACCAACTTAGTTAGAATTATCCACTTATCCTCAATCATAATGTTTTAAATAATTAAAAATGATGCATTGAGCTACATTTTAATTTGGAGGGAAAAAAAAAAAAAAAAAAAAAATCACCTACTTTATAAGGGGAGAGCTCTCCCCAATTGAGTTGCTAACCAATGTCCCTATTAAAAGGCAAATTTTTATTTTTTAAACGATTATTATTATTATTATTATGAATAATATTTTATATTATTTCATACATGCAATTGTCATATTATTATTATAAGTAGTACACATTCTTATTACGGAGTAGTTTTTCTTTTTCCGATTATAATAGGAAGTCTTTTTTACAGTTGCAGTACCTCAACAACGATGTCCAAGTGTGATTGAAGCGATTTTTCATATACTTCTCTACCAAATTCTAGGGTTCAACACTTGTTTTATTTTTAGTTGGATTTCAATGAGAACTTGTTTGTTTAGTTGCTTTCTTTTTGTCCATTCAAAAACCCAAAATAGTCATTGAAAAGGAATACTCATTACTCACAACAAAATATATAATGACATTTTACAAATTCAAACAGTTAATAAACAACACCACCTAACCTGGGATTAATGAATTAACAGAAAAGAGAAGGAATGGCAACTCATTTCAACCAAAATTGAGGTAAGGACAAGCTAGAAGATGCTTTGTTATGATCACTAATCAAGTAGGGGCTGTCCAGTATCTGTATCTGAACCTCCCATCATAATTTGTCTCCTTCTACCTTGCAAACCTCTGAGACATCAAGTCAAATCAAACACCATATGTCAGTTATTTTTTTACTACAATTTATTTATTAATAATTATGTTTTCAAGAATATTAAAAAAAAAAAAAAAAAATGAAGTCCAAACATATGAGTCAAGCAAGCAGGCAGCATAGAGACCTTACACTAGTGGATTGGAGCTCAACTATTGCTGAATCATCATTATCCTGCATTACCAACTTTGCTATTAACCTTCCAATTCAAATCACCACAAAAGCTACCATTCATATTAAACACAGCTCCAAGTGGTAATTTACCTCTAGCAATAGATCTTTCCGCGTAATCATGCCCACAACACGGGAGGCATGCGGAACAACAAATATGTGTCTCAGACCTAGTTGACGAAACAGATTGTATACCTGCCCCATCAATAGTAAATATCCGGATGAAAATCATTTAAACATATTCACCACAGCCATGCATCATCAAAGTCACAATTTCCAAAATGCTTCCCTTTATATTCCACCCAAACGTTTAAAATAATTTAATCTCCAAGGCAGAAATATTTTACTCCAATTCATCATTTATCCCATATTATATGATTCAATTTTGCTGTGGGATAACTATGTAAAGATTAAAAAATGAAAAACTGAATAACATAAAATGTGAAAAACAGCAACATTAGTGTGAGTCCCACCTTAGTTAATGACATGTCTTCAGGCACAATATATGGAGATGGGTTCACAAATGGGGAAAGGTCAATGTACATTTCCAGATCATCTTGAGTGAGATGAATATCATTTATACATATTCCTTTACTAGAGACAGGTTTCACAAAATCGCAGAGGTTGTGTCTGCAAAGTGAAAATCCAAAAATATTTCAGGAAATCCATCAATAAGCACAATTAGCAATGCCAGAATGGTGATCATGCATCACTACCTCATTGGTAAAGAACCGCTTCTTACATCACTGCACAAAGGGCTATGTTGAAAATCAACCTTTGATTGCAGAAGTACCAATAAATGACTGCATTATGAACAAACTTCCATGACTCTTTTAATCAGGTTAGCCAACCACAAATGCTACTGCTAAGATTTGTCTCCCTAGATAGCAGATGTTATAAATAGAATGCACAAACCATTCAGTCCTACCTTCGTAGTATTAGTCCAATGACAAGTGTCTCTCCACTCCTTGTATGATCAATAACCTGGAGATCAGTAAGCAATAATGCAATATAAACCGACAATTGCAAAAATCTAGTGTTAAACTGGTACAAAGTCTACTTACAGGGAAACCATTGTGCTTATTGCTCCTTAAGATGGAAACTATATCTGCAACCCTGACAACACGGGGAAAATAGATAACCTATATGATGCAAGAAAGGTAATCAGTGAGCTTAAAATAGACAAAATAAATTGCAAAGTAGGAGGAGAAATGAATGTTTTAAACAGTCACAGAATAAACAAATAATCTCTTTTCCATGCAAAACTAAGAATAGTCTCTTGGAAAAAGGTCACACAAGTCTGTATATTCTTTTAATCTGTTGAATGAATTTAAAATGGTCTAATAAAGTGATGAACCTTAATATTAAAATAGCAGAAAATGAAATAGAACACTTTACTTAACAACCACCATCATAATTTAACTTCTAATATCAAGCAGAAATTAAAAAGATGTGATGCCTTATTTAGTCCTAGTGCATCCAGGGCAAGTGCAAGTTGATGAACATCATAGTAATCTTCACCTTTTGATTCCCAGATGCCTCCTTTGCTGTCACATAGCGCATGTGGTATTTTGGCTTTGACTCAAGTAGTGGAATGCCCCTTAATCTTGCATGCTCTTCATAAAACCCTTCATTGAAAACATCACCAACAGCCTGCAGATGATAAATGCTAAGTCAATTAGGTACACCGTACATATAGAAAGTAAACTTTTAAGCCAGGGAAATGCACACCTTTGATATGAGGAGGACAAGCATGATCAGAGGTAGGAAAGTCAAATTATTTGAAATTTCCACCATAATGACACAGAGAGACACGGTCATCCTCATTGAACCTCCAAGAAAAGATGCTGCACCAAGAAGAGCATACCTGGGAATTTCATTGACAATGGCAAAAATCTCTTATAGTAGGTGAGGAAAACAAAGATGCAACAACTGGGGTAAAACCATGAGCTTTGCTGAATCTTAACCTCATCTTAGATCAAATAAAAAAAAAATGGATTGTATGAAATCTAACTCGTTCAACATTATCTATAAGTAATCAAGTTAATTACATATAAATTTTTAAAATTACGTAGCAGATCAAACTGAATCGACCCAAATACCTGTACTTCAATTTAACCAGCCCAATATAAACTATAATCAATTTGGGCACGTTGAAAAACCACCCAACTTTCTCTTCAACCCCATTTTGAGGCTTTGAGCCATCCAAACTGCCCATTTTCCATCATACTTCATATCCCATATATATAACAAAATTTCCTCTCTGAGATGTGGGATGTGTCAAAATATATGGGATGTGAAATTATTTAATATATAATGTACAATTGCACAAATCTAAAGAAAATAAATTTACTTCAATGTTAAAATCTAAAGAATGCTATAAATCAATCAATTAGTACTAAATTGTAAGAAAATTTAGGCCATTACTTTAAAGCATCCATCAAATTGTCTAACATGAAAAGGCTAGCTGGGAATTGTCATCTCAATGAAACAAAAATGAAAAACAAAAGAATAGAAAGAGACTCACGTTCCCTCTTCAATGTTAAGCTTCCTATAAAAGCTAACAACAAACATGCCAACAAGGCGTCCATAAGTTGATCCTATCATTATGCCAGGAACAAACTGACCAGCTGGAACAGCAGTACCATATGTTACCACTGCTAAGGTGTAAAACATTACCTGAGACACATGATTCTCCGGAAGTCAATATCACAAACAAAATGACAAATATAGGTATTGCATTCAAAAGGAGTTTGCTTCTTTTATCATTGCAGGTAATTAAAAAAATTCACTATAAAACTAAACACATTGACAATGCCTTCGCTTTTAATTAATTTCACATTAGAAAGTCGGAAAATTGTGCTCTTCTTGAAGACCAATTTCATACTCAACTAAAAAAATTGGATTCTAATTAAGAAACATTAAAATAAGAATTCTGGAAACTAGAATTAGTTAAGGTTGTCATTTACAAAAATGGGACAGTAGGGAAGTCGGGGAAACAATACCAGAAATGTCAGGAGACTTTGAGCACTGAACTCATGAACTGTCTTTGCACTAAATAAATTTCTTATAGCATCATCCTGAAAGTATGTGCCGGGCATAAGATTCCATGAGTTGAAAAATTGCTGAGAGTGAGATAGGTATCACAACACAGAAAAAAAAGGTGGAACTTGCAGCAACCTGTGTGTTGAAGAATATAGTTGCAAGGTCATTGTACTCATTGCTGTTCTGACAATGAAACTGCAAATGCATATAAACATAACCATGAGTAATGATTCCATTGTAATGTAATAGAGGGAAGCAATATACAGTACAAGATAGACTCAACCACGGTGAACATGTGTCCACACCTCCAATAAAATGAAAAAAAAAAAAAAGGGAAAAGGTACAAATAGGCCATTGAACTATTTGGGGGGATAGCAATTAGCCACCGAACTCGAATAAGCTCCAAATTCATCCATGAACCCAAAAAAAAAGGAGCAATTAGCATTTTTAGCAGGTTAACAACAGATTTGCGCTGATTGGGATGCCACGTGTATTTTTATTTTTTATTTTATTATCCTACTTGGACTACATGTAAGCATTTGATCCTTTGAAGTAAAAATTTAAATTCCTAATTTTCTCTCTCCTCTATTTTCTTCCCCAATTCTTCATCCCCTAACTATCGCTTCTCTAATTTCGGACAGTAAACCACAACATTTTTTACTGTCCGAAATTGACTGTCCAAATCGGGGAAGAAAATAGAGAGAAAATTAGGGATTTAAAATTTTACTTCAAAAGATCAAATGCTTACATGTAGTCCAAGTAGGATAATAAGAAAAAAAAAAAAAAAAAAAAAAAAAAAAATATATATATATATATATATATATATATATATATATATATATATATATATATATATATATATATATATATATATATATAAATATACATGGCATCCCAATCAGCGCAAACCTGTTGTTAACCTGCTAAAAATGCTAATTGCTCTTTTTTTCCGGGTTCATAGATGAATTCGGAGCTTATTCGAGTTCGGTGGTTTAATTGCTATCTCCCAAATAGTTCAATGGCCTATTTGTACCTTTTCCCAAAAAAAAAAAAAAAGACAAGATTGACTTCAAAGTAAAAGATGCTAACCATATAGAATTGAGATGCGTCCTAAGATCTAAATTAAAAAATATTAAAATAATTAAAAATAACACAGGATCCTACATTTACGTAATTTCCATACATTCCTGGTGCACGTGGACATTCGATGCTTGAGTTGACATCAGGATCAGGGCAGGGAGTGCATCTTCTAAACAATGGTAACCCAAATGAAATAACTGAAGTTATCACTGAGATAACACAGGCTTCAATAATCTGTAATGTAATGTATTCTTTTTTTAAATAAGTAAATAAGCCATATTTTGAGCCAAAGAACCTCTGACACAATAATAAGCATGAATACTGAAGGCAAAATTGTGATCTTCACTTACTTTGATACGAATTCCTTTTCTGTGCAAATAATTTCGACGCCAGTGGGAAATAAAAAGAGTAAGTTGATTAAAGAGGGCTCCTGGAACAATTAAAACTAAGCTATATCAAGCTGCAAGTACATCTTTATTTTTTCCAACCTTTACACATGCATCCAATAATAACACTTACATACCAAGAAGGCCTCCAATAACACCAATAACTGCCATTGGCAATAATTCCTCAAAGGAGTAGTCCTCTTGACCTCTAAAGGAAATGTGATTCACCATAAGCTTATAATGGATATTAGTTTAGAAAAATAAAACAAAGTTCAAATCCTAACCCTGAAATGTCCCATATAATGAAGCCTCCAGAGCCAAAATGGCCACATTTTCCACTCTTGCACCATCCCATTGCCGTACGAACAACAACAGCTACAATGGCAGAGGTAAAGAAGACACGCCACATGAGTTGACTCCTCCACCTTCATTAAATGATGGGTTAAACAAGTGATTAGGTCACATTTAAACTTGAAGATGATCCATTTGGTTTAAGGCCCTAGTGCCCAACTGCACAACACACAACTAGATCCAAGCATTGCTCATGAACCATCGAATACTCACTTGCAGAAGCATGTGTACAGCAAACCAGAAATTAGCCACATGATCCACATAATACATCATTCTTCCATCAGATCATTTGGCTTCTACCACTCTACGTATGATTCTACAGGCCATTCTTAGCCTTTTTCTTTCGTTCTTTTTACAAGTTACGTCTCATAGCAAGAAAAGTCTTAAACACTCGATGAATAAAAGAATGATGCATATAATGGATGAGACATAAGAATATAAGATTACCAAGACGTAACTTCTTCAAGGGCAAATAATACACCACCAACTGGAGCTCTAAAAGCTGCAGCAACTCCTGCTGCACATCCACAGGTTACCTTGTAAAAGCATTCACCAAATAAAAGAATCAGTACAAATCAGAGGCTATCTTAAGAAAAGTTGAAACATCAATCTTTTGCATGTTTTGTCTAGATATGCTTCGAAACAATATTAAGGCATAAAGGTTCTGAAAACCTTAAAAAACTCAAGCAGAAGACATCATATTTTTAAGAAAATACAGATATAAACGTAGGCCAAATAATTTGTGAGCTTATAGTAAAGGGAAGGAGAAACAAAGTAAGCTTGTTTATTTCTGATTACTTTTTTTTAGCCTAAGGTATATACATGTACATAAGCAATTATCTGATTTTGGCCTACCGTACTAATGTCTCTGATTGCATTGAATACCATATCTGCTTCATATTCTCAAAACTCCCCCGCAAGTTGGAACATAGATGTTGATCATGCCCAACTCAATACAAATAATTAATAATACTTCAAGTAAGTCCCTTGGTAAATAATTCAGTCAATTACTCACCACTATGCACATATAAAATACAACCAATTATTGTTTAATCTTCTCCTGCATAAACGACACCTCATGTCGATATGTTTTGTTCATTCACAGAAGATTGTATTGTTCGAAATGTGAATGGCCTGATGGCACAATATTCAAATTCTATTTGATTCATAGCATGATATTCAAATTCTACGTTAGCTCATGCCACCACATTCTACTTCTCCAGAAACCATATTTCTTCCTATAAAAGCAAACACCCTGTAGTTGACTTTCTGTAACAGAGATCCAGCTTAGTTCACATCAGAAAATGCTTCATGAAGTGTGTCTACGATCAACATACAAAATCCCTTTTACTGTTGAACCCGTAAGATATTTCACAATTTGAATTACTGTATCCCACTAAGACGTCCATAAACTAACTTACCATGCTCACAAGATATGCTATATATGGATAGATGAGTCTCCAAATGCCTCAGCTTCAACTGCTACAAGAGAGGAATATCCCTTTCATGAACCAAGTGAATTTTTTTATGTTTTTTTGTTTCCAACAACATTATGACTTTAATCCCCAAAAAGTACTTCAATACACCCAAGTTCTTAGTATGAAATTTAGAGGCCATTGATTAGTCACAGCTAATGAAATAGACATTTGAGTAGAGGTTATCATAACTGCAGGAGAAAATGTACGTGTGCATAATCCATGTTGTACGTTTGGCATTGCCTTTAGCCACTAATCATGTTTTAAACCTAACAACAAAATCAACAAGGTTTGTTTTTACCACATCACGTATTTACTACTACTTGCTTTCTTACCAAAAAGAAATCAAGTTACATGTTCCATTATCCTTAAGAGCTTTAAATTCCTCTTTCATAGCATGCCTCCAGCCAACATAAGACAAGACTTGGTGTACAATTTGTTGGCACAAAATGGAACCAAGATGGGCAATGAAGGCACAAAAACACAAAGATAAATGATCATTGGTTGAAAACTTGAAATGCCAATTTGGCCCCTACGTTGTGATGTGGCAATTTTGCCCCATATTTTTTCCTATCAAATTCACATTATGTTTCAACATGTTGGTCAATATGTTCATTTCGTTATCTACTTTAAATAAACTGTTCAATTTACCAATTTTAACCCAACCCACCCATATTAGCCATCGACCCACCAAGTGTTTAAAATAAAAATAAGAAAACAAAATCTCACCCATGCACAGAGAGCCAAAGATGAGATTTTGCTCCAGCACATGAACAAAATGCAGCTTGGAATTCAATTTCAAAAGGCCAACTTCGTGAGCATCATCTATTATATATAGTATTATAGTGCATGTATGTACTGTAGCACACATCAATGTACTTTGGTCTTCTCCCTTTCACAGTTTCACGAGTTAGGGATCTAACTTTGTTAGAAATGAAGGGGGAGCCCACTCAAACTGTAATACACCCTTGTAGCTTGGTATTTTTACTCAGAAGAAAATACTCCCAAAACAATCTCCATAATTTTTTTAGTTTGATAGTCAACCCCGGCCTTCGCCAAAAGATATAGAAAACTGAATTTGTTAGATGGAAAGGAAACATTTGTTAGAAATGGAAAGGAGAGCTTGCTCAAACTGTAATACACCCCTGTAGCTTGGTGATTTTACTCAAAGAATAACTGAATAAGAAAATATTCCAAAAACAATGCTCCATAATTTGAGCATTGTTTTTGGAATGCTCAAACTGTAATACACCCCTGTAGCTTGGTGATTTTACTCAAAGAATAACTGAATAAGAAAATATTCCAAAAACAATGCTCCATAATTCTTTTTCTAAATTTGATAGTCCAATCCCTGTCCTAGCTAAAAGACAGAAAACTGAACTTGTAAGATCGATTTAGAAGTAGAAATAGGTTACCACATATTCTACAGTAAAAGCAAGGAAAATTAAAATGCTGGACTTCAACAATGTGAAATAATAGTGTAGGCACATTTGCAAGAGTCGGAAACATCAGAGGGGAAAATAAGAGAATGCTAACCACACATAATATCTACTACTTACAAGATCCCGACGATCCCGTTCATTGTTTAATACTTGTAGCCACCGCAAACTCAAATGATATTTTGTTGAGCCACCCTGAGGTTATTCACATTTAAAAACCAATTGAGTTTTGAGCTCAAAAGTGGAAGAAACACTGATTAAAAAGTTCAAGAAAAAAAATGACAAAATATATGTTTCTCTTCCTTAGTGAATAGTGTAGGTAGCACTGTAGCACTCTCAAATTTGGCATGAAGAAATGAAGAATAGATCCAATAACTATAATGGAGCGATATTATAAAATTAATCTGAAGATATATTATAAAGTCCATTGAAATGACTTCAACTCATAGATATTAGATTAGACTTACTACCAGAAGTACTCCATATTACTTACTTGTCCAAGCAAAGAAGCAATACAGGCACCAATGTGTACAAGAGGGCCTTCTTTGCCAAGGGCTAGACCACTTCCCACTGAACCTATGCTTCCAAAAATCTAGAAGAAAGAACAAACAAAATGAAGCTTTTCATTATAATAACACTATAAAATACAAATTAAATCTAAAACATGCTACCATACCTTCCCAATTAAGGTTCTAAAGAGGAGGATACCATGTGTGTCAATTCCTACAAAAATAAACCAGAATCAGCTCATTCTTCCAGTGTCCCCATCAAACGGAGGTAAGAGACTAAGAGCAACAAACTGCCATAGCCCACCATTTAAGTAACCCTTAATTTCAGGAATCCCAGATCCTGCTGCAGCTGGAGCAAAATGTGTGATAATATATACTGAAGAAAATACTAGAACCAAGTTGATCAATGTATACACTAGAAATCCAACGAAGTAGGAATTCTGAATTATTTGAAACGTCAATGAGTATTTCCATCCTGCAAAGTTTTCAACAGACATGTTGATGAAAACAGCCACAAGTCCAGTACCTGAAACAAAACAAAGGGCATAAATAGCTAGTCAATCAATGAAGCAGGATACAAAATCCAAAGCCATCAGCATATATCTGGTTCCTCACAGCAATACTTAACAGTTGAAAATTATCATACCATACAAATTACAGAGTAACTCATCTGGAGAAAAAAATTACATAATGTGAAGGAATGCTATCATGGGATGCATCTAAAGAACCACACACACACACACATAATCAGCAGTAAGAAGTGAGGATCTGAATTAAAGCTTGATTTTTAAGTTCTATTCTGTCCCTAGATAGTTTAAATAGTATCATATTTAGATGTTAATAAAGAAGAGTAGGCATGGAAAGATACTAGTCTAAACTCAAACCAATTTTTAGAAGATAAATCATTTTCAAAAAAAATATAAATATAAATATAAATAAAAGAATAAAAGACAACTGGCAACCTGATTAAACTATACAGCTAAGCTTTATTCTTTTCAGGAGTATACTCTAGTTGTCTTACTACTAAGACAAGAACACCATTAAATTGCAATTTATTACAGAGCATAAAGATCTTCCATTTACAAGTATACACCCCTTATCAAGGTATTAGCAACTAGATTATACATAAAGTCGTCAACCCAGAAGAAGAGATTGTTCTTGAATACAAAAGGAGATTTTGATAGTTGAAAAATTGTTTGGTCTTTGAAACTTACTCCTTTCTCTAAACTACAGTCTGCCTGCTGATTTATGCCATGTTTCAAATGGATGAGGTTAAAAAACTATATTATTGTGCAGATTTCCCATTTCAACACCTGCAAACTAAAGTCACAGGGTAACTTGAAGAGTCATGGTCTCACAATTATCATATGTTGCAGAAAAAGAGCTGTCAATCCACGAATCAAGATTCAATCATATATATATATATATATATATATATATATATATATATATATATATATATATATATATATATATATATATATATATATATATATATATATCCCTCATGGAATATGATACATAGACTATTTTAATCTTTCCAATCAAGTTATCCTGAAATGTATTATCTATATAGCCTCATATCTTCTTTCTTTCTTTCTCTCATATTATTCTACTTCTAGTTTACCACATACAGCTTTTACCTGACTGGCAAGTGGTGGCTAATAGCATGCTTAAGTGTTACATTTCCAGAGCTTAAGGCTAAAGGAGTTGCAAGTAAGTGAAGTAACCATTCTATAGGTTGGGCAACCACACTGACAAACAGCAGAAGTAAAAGAAACAAGTTTTCCTAAATTGTTCTGATGTCAGGGCCAGGGAAAAAGAATTAAAAATCTATAGATAGAAACTCACCAATTCCAATTAATAAGGAAAAGAACCACTTCATCACGATCAAATACCCTCCTACATAAAGTTTCCCTTTCTTAGCCTGTACATCCAAAAGAATATTAAAAATAAATAAATAAAAAAGCAAACAAACAGAAGAACCACAATGCAACAATTTCACCACATTATATGTAAAGCATCCCTCATTTTACTAAATTGGGAGGAGCACAACAATTAAGACAGTAGTAGAATAAGAACTGAGACCTGTTCCCGTCGATAGGCATGATTTTCGATGACTTCATAGTCGAGACTCTCTACGGAGCTGCCTTCGATCTTCTTCGAGGTTCCCACCTCGTCGTCATCCCCATCTTCCTCCGCGGATGGCAGCCGCGACCATGCCACATTCACCGTCTCAATACTATTCTGCAAATGATTCGATAACATCTTTCTCTCAGATCCCTCTGCCACCACCCTCCACTTCTATGTAGTAATTAGCCCTAAATTAATTTAGAAAAAATTCAACTAAATTTCAGGAAAAAGTCGAAATGCATATGCAATTCGCGGCCGAAACTTGAATAATTTGGGATCAAAGTTGATGTTCTATGCAAATATTCAAACGGTTTTGTGATAAAAAACTTCTTCGACGGGCGCTTCTTATGAGTTCGCTCTCGGTGCAGTCGTGTTTATTACGACTACAGCGCAAACAAAATAGAAATCGGAATGGAATTTCCTTCTTTTCTTTTGTCATTTCACAATTTGATTGAGAATTTGGATTAACCAAATTTTTATACTACAGATACAGATTACAGAGTAATTAGTAATTAGGGTAGGGGCAGCAAACGTTATACCGTGCACAGGATGCACATAGCACTGTGCGCTCCGCGCTTTTCAAAATGACGTCGTTTTATTAAGTTGTTAAAAAAAATTTCATTTTTCGAATGCACATAAACTCGAATACACATAATCTAACATAATACATAATACACATAAATTCATAACATAATACACATAAATTCTTAACTGAATACACATAAATTCATAACACAATACACATAAAATTTTAACTGAATACACACAATGAAGTTTGATCTGTTCGGATAGACGAAGTGACGTCAGTATGACGTCAGCATGAAACGCACGCATTTTGTGTCTGAACGCACATTGCTATGTACGTCGTGGTGCATGATATAAATTGCCTAGGGCGAGACCTAGTGTATACGTTTGTTGGATCTAGTTTGTGAATGGTTTTTTTTTTTTTTTTTAAACATTTTGATAGTCATAATTTCATATACTGAAAGAAACAAAATAAATAAGTATACAATAAAGATGTGAATTGCTGTAAAAGAATATATATATATATATATATATATATATATATATATATATATATATTGCGGATCAAATAAAACAGTCTCAACAGGTAAAAAATGTGGACAGATTCCAAGCAGTAGATGCAATCCAAATCAACAGCCCAAATTGAATTTTAATTAAAAAACGTGCGGTGGCATATTTATAATTTTGAGTAAATAAGTCAGTTTGTGTATGGTTTACGAGTGCACATTTGTCCTTCTTCGAGTCCATATTTTTCCTTCTTCAAGTGCATACTTTTTCTTTTTCGAGTACATCACTTTTATTTTAGTACTTAGTTTCTATTTTGAGTGCACATCTTTGTGCCTTTTTTTGTAAATCTTTTGGCCTTCAAATGCATGTTTTCCTTTCTAAAAGTGCATAATTAATTTCATTCGAATTTTCTTTTTTAGTGTCATTTTTTTCTTCTCTCCCTTGCCTTTTAGTGATCTTCTTTATGCTTTCAAGTGCTCAAATTAATGTCTAAAAGTATATGTGTCTCAATATTGTGTAAAAAAAATAAAATAAAATAAAAATAAACTTAGCATTCAAGTTAACCCTTTTTTCCTTCGGTGCAGATTTTTTGCCTTCAAGTACACAGTTTTATGCCTTCAAGTGTATGTTTCTTTGTCTTCAAGTGCACAATTTCTGGACAGTATTTGTTATATCTTGTGCATTCTTTTCAATAACATATTACTAAATTTCTAATAAAATTTGTGAGATTTACAAATGATTTGTATGGGTAATTGGTTTAATAACACTTAAGTTGAATAACCTCCCTTTTTGGCACCATAAATTGCATCAATTGCACGCCTATTTGCCTTCAAATGTAACTTTTTTGCCTTCAAGTGCACATTTTTTACCTTCAAGTGCATGGTTTTAAGTCTTCAAGTGCACATACCGCATTTTCGCATAGGAAGTGGTATGTGCACCTGATCCTAAAACGGGCAGATGTGACAGCCGGTGTGTCCCCGACCGAGTGCCTTACAGAATTCGGGCGGCCGACCGGGCTCCGCAGGCAGCACGTCTCAGGCTGGGAACCATTCAGGAAGGCAGACAGGCCACCAGGCTATGCGGTCGGGACATCTTCACCCGAGCACCGCAACTCCTCGGAGACATCTGCTCAGCAACCAGGATACTCCCCGACCGAGTACTCTCCAGAGGCGGTTGCAGACATGTCCCACGGAGATTTACTTTCCGCATTTAATGCAAGTAGCTTCCTTTATTAATTTAGGTAGTTAAGGCGCAATAACGGCCAGTTTCTATAGCTGATTCGTCCCTACCCGTCAGCCCTACTTTCCTTGTAGATTTTGGCTCAACGCCAACCCTACTTTCCTTATACATATTCTGTATTCTTGTATAAGTATCCCTCTAGGATCACCGTGTAAAGGGGCTGGGAAAATCGATCACCTTTGGCTTCTTTTGGCATTTAAGCGGCCGAAGCCCTAAAGAAATAATATCGCATTATTCTCTCCATTGCTTTACTCCCTCTTTTCATCATAAACTCTCGTTTATAGTATTTTTACGGTAGTGTTGGCCCCCGGACCAGCAACCAAAAGCCGTAAAACCAACATTGGCGTCGTCCGTTGGATCGAAAGAAGAGGTCCCGTCTCTAAGCTTTGCTAATGGCTCGTACCCTGCATAGCAATCGAAACAATGGACAGAACGATGTGGCCCCGCCGGCAAACGGCCATGTCGCTATCGTATTTAATGCATGAGATCCACTAGCTGGTAGCTGCGCCTCCGTGGGCGATCTAAGGGAGCAATTAAGTCGCCGCACTTCAGGCGGGCATTCGGCCGCACGTATTGAGTGTACAGTCGCGCCGACTCATGAGTCACCGAGAATCAACCAACCACCACCTGTCGCTTAGGCTCAAGCCAACTTCGCAGAGTTATTGGCGCAAGCCTTCGATGCATACGTGCGTGGAAGAGGACCAGTTCCGCCCCCTGCAAACTCGCAGCCCACGCAATAGATTCCTGCTGGAGACCGCGACGAGGCCTCTCAACGTTTGGGGCATTCAGAACGGTACACACAAGGGAGCCTACATGCTTCCCGCTCGGTACATTCGCGGTTGGGCCCCACAGCTCCCACCCGGTCGGTGTTGGACTAGCTAGGGCGTCGAGCCAGGCCACGCTCCCCCGCCCATTCAATATTTGATAGGATTCGATTCATTTTAGTAATGAACAAAAAAGAATTTTATGGGGCTTCCCTGTCGAGAATAAAAAGTTTTTCTCGAGGGGGAGAGAGCGGCCTGAGGGGGAACCGCCTCGAGCCGTTATTCAAAGGAGGATAGCCGCACGGCGCAAGCAGGAGGTCGTTGAAGGCACATGGAGTCGCTCATGATCCCGGGCCACCCAACTTGGAGATGGCCGACTTGGCCGCCGCGGTTCAAGAGCTACGACGCAAGGTTGAGGAAAAAGAAAGGCCGCCTGTTATTGCAGGTATCACCACGCGAATCCTCACACCACGGAGGAATGCGAAGGCTTGAAGGAGGAGATCGAGGCGCTCATAAAGCGCGGCCGGCCACTACCCCCCAATCAGTGGCGTCGGCCGGGCCCGCCTTGGCAAAAAAAGGCGCCCGCTCGGTCACCCTGAGAGCTACAGATAAAGGGAAGCAGCCTGTGCAGGAAGAGGACGCTGATAAAAATTGGAAGCATAACTGGTGATCAACATGATAGTAGGCGATTGGTAGGATATATCCCGACCGGCATGCCACGTCTTTTCTTGTTGTTTATGCAGGTTTACAGGTCGGACATTCCGAAAGGAAGCCGGTCGGACCCGACCGGCGTATCTCCCAACCGATGTCTTCAGTACCCGGTTGATGGCCCTTAAACGAGAGATTTGAGAAGAAACACGTGGCGACGTTACACGATGACAGGCAGGGCTCATGAGGTGAAGACGCGTGGGTGCTACGTGGGTTACATGCCGGCCGACCGGAATTGTGTCTCCGGCCTAGCGGCTATAAATACCCACGGCGGCTACAGTGTGGAGGACTTTTGAGATGATCGATAAGCTATTTACAGAGCTGCCCGACCGTAGTCAGTCGGTCCTCGGAATAGCCATTTTAGTTTGTATTGGGTCCTTTACCGATCAATAAAAGACTTTACTTGCTTTTGACTTGGTCGTATTGTAACACCCCGTGTTACGGCCTTCAATCCCGGATTAATTATTTAATTAAATATGATTTAACTTGGTTAGGTTTCCCTTTAAATAATTAATAAGGTCCACCATGAATCGTGGACCCTTGCCTAAACTAGAGTTTTAAGCCTATTAGGAATAAAGAAAGTAAACCTTTTACTAGTCAGATTCTAATTAGGAATCCTAGTCCTATTTATCTATTAGGAATAAAGGAAGTAGGCCTTTTACTATTCAGATTATGATTAGGATTCCCTTTAATTAATTAATATAGTCCACTATAGACCATGGACCCTTACCCCTAAAACAAGTCCTTAGTCCTATAAGGAATAGGACTAGTAAACCCATACCATTCAGACCCTAATTAGGACTCTTATATATATATATATATATATATATATATATATATATATATATATATATATATATATATATATATATATATATATATATATATATAAAAGGACATAGGAGGCACCTAGAAGTCACACCACAAATAATCTCTCAACACACAGGAAGTTCCAAGAATTCCCTTAGGAGAAATCAAGAAAGAAGGAATCTTAAAGAAAGACCCTTCATAGCCAAAGAAATTAATTAAGGCTAAGAGGTAACCCATATCTCAACAAAACCTATTTTCCTTGCTATAATTATCTTCTTTGGCCTCCTCTTTATACTTGTGTCTTGATGAATCGTTTATGATATTGATGATATGATCTTGATGATTGTGAGATGAGTTTATGTGTGATCTTGATGATCTTGATGATGATAAGAGATTCTTGATGATTATGTGATGTTCTTGATGAATCTTGATGTTTTGATGATTAAAAGAGGAACTATGATTTTATTGATTTGAATATGATTAGAGCCTTAGGTTAAAATTGGGAATTTCGTATTGTGTTATTCTTGATATAATTCGGTGGGATTTCGCATGTTCGGGTGTTGATTATGTTTAATAGTCATG